GCGTCTCATTCATTCATGTCAACAAAGCTCAACCAACGTTGTACAAATGTCATCAGTTATCAGAAGATTCTGTAAAAATGCCGTTCTGGAGTCAACCAGATTGGCATCACTTCGCAGGTGACAGACTGCTGGTTTCTGAGGGGATGTGACGGGGTTCGTACTGTTATCAGGACAGATGGACTGTGTCTCTGAAGGGCATCAGACTGATGGATACCATCAGGGGTCAGACGTAGTCATCACTTTCATCCACCCTGTTTCACCGACATCAGAGCTGTCTGTACCAGAAACAGATAAACGACAAAGGACAAGTCAGTGTGCTCACAGGAAGTGTGCCGATCGCACAGGAAGTGTGCCGATCGCACAGGAAGTGTGCCAATCAGTATTGAATTGGTTTTTCTGTAGTGCCTCCGTTTGTGTCCTCTGTTTCTTTCAACCTGCCATGATACTGCATGAATCCACATGTCAATCAATCCAGTTGTTCTGACAGCTGAATATGTTTGAACAGACAGCATCATACACATGTCATTAATCTATATCTCAAATATATGGTCTAGTCATGCTGGAAGTAATCCTTATATTGATAAGAAAAAAAACAGCTATGGTAAGAAACACAGGGATAGTTATGTTGAAATCTAACACATTTATAAACACATTTATTATATAGATATATATGACTGTAGAAGTAACCATACATACTCAAGTGCTGCACTTAACTGCAACTTTGAGGCACCTTTGCTTGCTACTTCCACTGCAATACATGTTAGGAGGGAAATAATGTACTTTTTGCTGCACTATATATACACTTGAGAATTTATGTAACTAGTTACTTTGCAGATTTAAATTAATAACATAAACTGCTGCTGCTAAACCTGCTGTTGATTGGATGTCAGTCCCGCTGTTTCCCACCAGAGGGCAGCGTTGTGCTAAATAAATAAACGCACCAGGTTCCTGAGAGAAAAAGCACAAGATCGGCGGTGAGTCAACTCTTCCCTGGTCTGTGGGGCGTGTCCCGTTATGTGAAAAAAAGAATCCAGTTTGAATGTCGGTTCTTCCTGTGTTGCATGTAGATTTGATACATGGTTATCTATTCACATGCACTGAGTCGCGCAGTAAATGCGGTGTGTGTGGACCCACACACCGCATTTCTCTCTCTCTCGTAATTCAATACGATCACAATTGGGTCAAATCTGTATTTTAGTGTCGACCACTGTAGCTGAACAACCTCGAAAATATCCTGATAAAGTACAAGACCTCAGTTACTGCAACTCCATAGGCTGCACACACACACGCGCGCGCGCGCACTGCGAAAACATTTGTGTATGCACACGTTTGATCCATCATCAGAGACGAAAATTTTCTGAGCGGGAGGGGCAAATTCGTTTGCTGCAAGGGGCAGATCAGCCCGTAGACTCAGATCCTCAGAGAGAGCACTGAGGGCGCAGAAGGCAACTTAAAGAGTGTATCCACCCGTGTTCTGAAGATGCCACACAAGAGACGAAGCCATGGCCACCACAAAAACCCAAAGGAGGCGGACGAAGTAAGTTTATTGCACGGCACACACGGAGCAAAGTGATCGTACAAGTTTAGGATGTGTTTACAGATGCAAATAATCTCCAAAACACACAAAGTGGTTAACGCAAAGACAACAATGTTAGCCGTTTCCAGACATGCATATTAATTGTAATACACTTGTACAAGTAGGATACATAGTCTATGATTTGTGACATGTATCTTTGATCGCTGCATCGATTATAACCATGTCCATATAAGTCAACATCATCGGTCAATTGATACATCAGTGGTTGCCAACAGTCGAGAAGCTATTTGTGTGGTTCTCCCATATGGCCAACCCCCCCCCAGCAGTTAAGCTAGAAACAATCACAATAGAAGTATCAAGTTCCTTCCATGGAAATATGCGAATGGTGAGGGGAGGGGACTGTGATACATATACACGGGTATGTGCTTGATTCTTCTTTGGCGATGCGGAAGAGTCAGACGTCCCACAAGAAAACAATGCATTTTAATTGGGTGATTGAGTCAGAAGAGGGCTACAGTGCAGACAAAGAAAGTGAGGGAAGTGTTAGTAGTGCGTGGGGAGTGGCTCTCACTGTTTGGGAAGGCATGATTGACAAGATCTGTAAGTGAGAACAGGAGAGTGGCAGTGCAGGGAAGAACCTTTGTTTCAGGGCAGTGTTGTACTTCACTCCTAATCCCTCATGGCGTACGCAGCATACTGGATGAGTCTTGTGAGTACATTTGCAACTTTTCACACACCTCTCTCTCTCTCTCTCTCTCTCTCTCTCTCTCTCTCTCTCTCTCTCTACTGTTTGAAACTCTCTTCAAAACGCTTAAACAGCCCTCGGCTTAAAAGTTGGCACCTGAAGAGACGTTGATTGTCTTCATTTATTGTTTAATTAAACCAACACAAGTCTGAAAGTGTTCCAGCTTTGCTGAATGCGCTCCAAAACTTGGCATTGGCTGCACAAAGCAACCTTTTGAAATGAAATGAATTATTGTAAAGGCTTTGCCCATATTCTGTCTCACACACACACACACACACACACACACACACACACACACACACACACACATTGTTTAGATATGAGGGTGTGTCTGTTTAAACTGAGATAGGCTGCAGTGTCTTGCCACAGTTTCAACTCATTCCAAACTATTCATGTTGAACATTAAGTCAGAATAAAATGTGTTATTTGAATCACATGCAGTTATCATTGCGTACACAAATACCAACATTTAATCAAATGCTATGTGGTATATTTGTTTTTTATTAGCATTAGACTTTCATAAACATGTTGGAAAAGCAAGAATAACAACAAAATGATGAGACCTGTGCATGAAACATTTTTCGTCAGATGTTAGATGAATAAACCATCAACACAATAGGTTAAAACTCACTGCTTCCTGTACAAGACGTTCCATTGAATTTCAGTTATGCTAACAAGTTGGTGTGTGTGGGTGGGTGTGTGTGTAGCAAGGAGGAGCAGCTGCTTCCCCACTTGAAGTCCATCATAGTAGCAGGTTTTCATCCTGCTATCCCACTGCAGGGTTCTGCTAGGGCAAGGTACTGACTCAACATCCTCCTGCTGACTCATGGATGTTCTCTGAAACCAAGTTATTGAATTTTCCCCACATAGGCAGGATCTTGCAAGAGTGACTTTAGAAGGGATTATTATCGCCTAAATGTGGGATGGATCCCATTCAGATTTATTTGTCTGTTATAGTGTTAATTTAAGGTTTTAAATAGGCTGGATATTTTTGATAATTTCAACAAAACAAACTCTCTAATTTCGGTGGCCATCAGAATTTTAAGACCCAAAAAGGAAAAGTGAGATTTTTCGTAACATGCGTAACAGTAGAGCTGTGCCTATTGTTCTGAAGTGAAAGGCCAATGCTTGGTTACAGTATTCATGTACAGGTGGAAGAAAGTCTGTTTGTCTCCCTCTGCTGAGTGCAGGCACGTTTGAGCTTGCTAAATGCTGATTTGTCAGATAAGAGCTGCTTGTCCGTACACCAGCCGATGTTGATGAGGAGGTGCAGTAAATCCAAATCTCTACCAGAGAAAACATTTATCTTTACTGGTAATCCGTCTTCATCTGTTTTTAAAAGTGACAACTCACACCATTCTGCAAAGGTTATCTATCTGCAAGTGCCTGTAAAGGTGTCAAGCATTCATACAATTCCTGGCTAGCTGGAGCAGAAGCCTTCTATTGTCTTCAGGAACGTAGTTGAGCCAGTATGTTGGGTGGTGATGGCCAGAGTTTGTAGACGTCTGAACTGCAGCGGTGGAGATAGTGGTGACTGTAGTACGGCATGGGTCCAAATATAAAGAAGAAGGCCAGTTTGGCAGAGTTGCCAGTGTTCACTTATGTGGCACTGACAACATGTTGATGACAACATCTGTCCATTTCCTCATTCATTTTCACTCATATTTAACTAACTTTAGCGCTACTATTGTAAACGTTGAGGTTGAAGTGTCACTTGTTCCTGTCACTAAACTCAATCTTTTTTTATGCAAATCTCAAGTCACATGTCACACAAGTGATATTAGTCCTTTTAGGTCTTTGGGAGGTTGCAACACAAGACATATCTTTTTGGTTCCCTTGGTGCAGCTAAGATTTACAGGCTGGGTCATTTGGCATTTAACAAAGGTGTGTCTGACTCAGTGGCGGGCCGTCAGGGCCTGCAAGGCCTTCTCTGCTGGCCTAAACAGAATCACAAAGCTATATCTATTTTATAATTTAATAATTTTTCTTAAATACACTACATGTATTATAATTTATAATAATATTTTCCCCATTATCTTATTTTCTCATTGCACAGCTCCTGTCTTCCTCAGTTGCTCTGCTTCCAGTGCAACTTGTTTTAAGTAGAGCTTTTATCCAATCAGATTTCACCTCTGTGTCTCTAGGTACGAAGAGAGCAACAGGCCTGCACACTCTGAAGTGCATCCATGTGCAGTATTAAGTGAATGGGGACAATATTGTTGATTGTCATAGTGTTCAACCAATCAGATCTTTAGTTTGACATGTTGGGCGTATTCTTTGACGTGTCAGCGCCTGCGAGCCGGCCTATAATGACATCAGCATTACATGCAGCTCAGTGTCCATGTGTAGCTCTCCCGCGAGGTGCAGAGTGTGCTGTGATTAGTCAGTGGGCGATCACGTGACTATCGTGAAACGAAACTTAACGGCACAGGCTGTCGGTAGTGACTCGCATCACGTGATGCAGCTCAGCCAATTAAATATGGGCATGTACCACACACCATGACACAGGGGACTGAGACGAGGAAAGACATTGCAGAGCAGTACATTCAATGTTTGTGTTGTGAAAGTGAAATCCTAAAATAATCTCTTTGGGCTTGTCGTTAAGGAGTGATGGTGGGTCCCACAGCCAGACCAGCTGAGAACCATTGTCCTCCATGAGTGCAGAAAACATTATATTCTCCTGAATATAAGCTTCTGCATTTTCCAATCGCTCTAGTACTTTTCAAACGTATTGTAAATCTCGTACCGAACTGTACGTACATTTACTAGTACATAGTTACAGCCTTAGAAACTAATAATAACTGTGGCGCCATCATGTGGTTATAAGGAGGTATTTCAGCTGCAGGACAACAGTGAAGGCCTAGGTATAAAATGCAAGGCCCGCCACTGGTCTGACTGGAAATGTACCACTGCAGGGCTGTGCTGTACCATAGACTGTGTGCATTCGTTTTTCTTTTTTTGTTGTTGTAATTCATCGGGTACAGAGAAGGGTTAGAAAAGCAAACTTGTATGGCTTCATTCCCTTTGCGTGTGTGAACACACTGGCTGATCAGACGGAATACATCTGAGGTTTTAAAAGTCTGACATTGTAGGCTTGCTCTCAGACAAACCCTGCCTCCATCACCACAATTTAATTAAATGTTTTGCCTGCATGCCCACAGGCTTTCAGCACAGGGTAGATATCTGTAGGTGATATGCTTATGTAGAGGAGAGTCTTAGTATTGCAGTGTTTGGTTTTAGTCAAATTGGCACCATTAAAAGTATACTGAATCAGCTACTAGAAGTTCCTGTGTACATAATGCACCCATGAATGTACAGACAACTACCATGTGAGTAGCATTGCTGTGATACTGGAGGAAAAAAACGTAACGATTCTCAGACAAGTTCTGGATTTAAAAGGAACTCCTTATGATTTCTGAGTGGATTTCTGGACGTTTATTTGTCATTCAGTTTCAGTATAATTTTGTACCTGCAATAATTGTACATGTTGCGATGCCAGTGAACTGTCTTTGGTGTCTTTAAACCCTTCTATGTGGCATGTAAAGTTAAGGAAGATCTCACAACTCCACCTGGACATTCAGTTTTAGTGACTATTCAACCTGTGTGCTGCACAAACAGGAGTTCCATGTCTGGCCAGTTTGTACTAATAGTACGGTACATCGTTTCCATATTTTGCTGAGCTGTGCTACTAAAACACGGGTTCCATGCCAGTGACTCACTCAAAGGCTGTATTGTCTGCACACCCCACCCAAGAACTGGCCAAAGGAACGCACAATACAGGTGAGGTAAAGCCTCAGAGCTATGACTGGAATTGCACTTGGCACTCCCATTGCCTCCTCTGTAAATCATGTGAAAACAATGGTAGCAAAGGAATGGCTTTGCATACACCCGAATATACTTTTTCTGCACAGTATGTGTTTGTGTTTTCAAAGAAGGTAGTATTGAATGTAATGCTGTCCTTCCACTTCTGTACTTCTGCATGTTGTTCAAATACAGTTCAAAGTAAAGCGTCTCTCTTAGTATGGGAGGAAAAGGTTCAGAAAGTCAACACCCATGCTTTAAGCAGTAAATCTGTTAGTCATGTGGTCTTAGAAACACTCCCTAAATTCTGGTTTCCCAAATATTTTTTTTGCGTCCGCCCGAGCTGTTTTGATGCACAGAATCATGATGAAATCCCCTCCTTTTGCCAGAGATAACGGTCTTCTATTGGCTCAGCCAGTGGTTATCGCTTGATCGTTGTGACCTGGTTACATGGAGACCAATCGATATCCTTCCCTGCTGCTATTATCCTCAAGAGGTGATGATCTCACTGTAACATATGATGAGGTCTTGTCTCTCTTGACAGATTGTTTGACGCAGATGTATTAAAAAAACTAAAGTCTGGCCCCTCCCTTTAATTCTCATAGGCAATTAGGCAGCCAGGGCGGTTGCACAAGCCTTCTTTTATTGCTGCATGCACAAAAGAAGTGTGTACACAAGCATGTGTCTCTATACATGTGTGCTCAAGGCCAGCGCATTACACATCTGGGTGTGTGCTCGTTGATAAGTGGCTCGGATATTGTCTCAGTACACTGCGAAAAATTGTTTTACACACCTGCCCAGGCATGTTTTTATGCAGGTGTGTGTGTGTGTGTGTGTGTGTGTGTTAAAGCAGTATCTGTTTCCCTGAGAAGCAGCTCCGATGTGGCCCCTTATCAGGTGGGTGTCAGTCCACGGTCAGCTCACTTCCCCTTATAGCCCAGAGAGTTACAGCCCGGCCTCTCTTGTGACTTTAAGATCTGAGCTGTCTCCCCCTCTGCTCTCTGACCACGCCCCCCCTTGGGTCCCTCCCTCCGTTCCCTCCCTCCCTCCGTTCCCTGTGAGTTGGAAACATGCTGCAAGCCGACAGTCAAGGCAGAGGCTCATAGACAAACACTCGCACACAGACACGCTCGGAGGCACTTTCAGCCAACATGGGCCAGATATTGACCTGGTTCCGAGGCCCACGGGACGGCCAGGCCCTGCAGGATGTGTCCGTGGAGGAGCAGGTGTGTGCAGATGTGTGTGCGTGTATGTCTATGTGTGTCTGCTTGTGCCATTGTATGTGCTAAGCAACTAATCCAAAAGTATCCATGTGTGTTTTGTTTTGTTGATGTAAGTCAGCCTCCAAAGCTACACGTATGAGTACTGCTGTTTGCAGTTGTTGGTCTGTTAGTTGTGTTAGTCCAGTTTGTGCTGTATGTTTAACAAAGGACTTATAGGGGAAACATTCATAGGAGACTAACTGTCTTGGCTCTAATCCAAGTCAGACCTCTCTCTCCCTCTCTCTCTCTCTGCTGGAATGTGAGGCTCCCGGTCAGCCTGTGTGACATTAGAACCAGAGTGTGAGTTTTGTGGTAGTGAGATATTAAACCAAGGCTTGGACAAGGCCTGCATTGTTTATACCCATTTCTACAGGTACCACATCAACAGGGGAAACGGATAGATTCCTGTTAGTGATGGTTGTTTAAAGAAGATAGGTGTCCTCCCTTTATCTTCACAAAGAAAAAAACATAAAGTTTGGTATTTGTTTGAGTTTGTTGGTCTCGCCCAAATATCATTCTCCTGTGATAGGCTACAGCGGCAGATGGAGCAATATGAAAGGGTGTGGAGCTGGAATAAGTTTAAGTATTTCTTTATTGCACAACTTGGAATTGGATGTCATATCCTGTAACCTCAGTGCCATTACCTTTGTTACATTTTCACACGTCGTGCAGAGAAAGCGACTGTGATATGTGACAGGTCTACACTGGCTGTCCTGATGTCAGTACTTTGTGTTAGTTTGCTCTGAGTCACTCAATGTGTTAAAGGTTCAAATGTGTCCTGGGAGGAGGACTTGGAACAGATTTTTTGTTGTTGTTGTGTTTTGGGCTGAAAAATGTTAGCCTCGGGCTGCAACAGTCTGCCTCCCTCCCTCACAACTCTCTGTTGCCTGGCTTAGACTGACAGGAAATGACCAATGGGAAAACATATCTATGCTGAACATGCAGTGCAGTCTAAAAATGACAAGTAGATAATGGAGCAAGAAGATAGTCGAGCGGAGTGGATGTTGTACACATCAGTCTTGTCTGTTGACACTTGTGTTTACATACTGTGGTACAATTGACAGCTATTTCAACACTGCAGTGGATTTATAAATCATTTCTCATTAACAGTATGCATAACGGCGTTATTCAAAACCTACTGGGAACAATCTTTTTAAAACTGTGGACTAAGCAGTATTTGTAGTAAAACGTAGTTTTTAAAGTCCTTCTCCTCAGTAAAAGCAATACCACAATTCAGTTGTTTACCTAAAGCAGCTATAATAGATGTTTTTTTTTGTCACAATACGACAATGTACAAACAATGTGACTGGTGTCACTCATAGTGATGAACCAACAGAGTTATCTCATGGATCTGGAGCTCTATATTATTTATATTACTGATTTATTGTGATACTTTCATTCACGTGTAAGCAGCATTTTTTTTAACTACCAGTACTTTATATCGCCTTCTGTTAGGTCTTTACAGATTATGTTTGTAAAATACTATTGGCAATATAAACTAGTAAGTATAGCAGTTAAATAAATGTTGTGGCATAAAAAGCACAATATTCGTCGATGAAACCTGGTGAACTAGAAGTGTAAATTAGCTTTAAATGGAAGTACTCAAGTACAGTACCTCAACATTGCACTAAAGCACAGAGCTTGAGAAAGGTACTGCTTGTTTTTGTTGTCGGCCTACAGCACAAAGTTGGGCTTTCAAGACTCTGCTGACTGATTTGACCAAATGGAAGTCTGACATGGTGCATGTTTACTTTTCCTCTACCAGGAAATGACAAACCAAGTCCCCTCTGTTATACCATGACATAAATCACCAAAGACCACCTGGAGCCTGTCTCCTTTGCAGTTAAGTGATGATATGTCACAAGGTGTCTGGATACTGAAGTTCAAATGTCATAAACAGCTCTTTACTGGAACGCTCTCTGCTATTTGGAGCCACATACGTGCAAAATATATAAAGTGTTTCAAATAGGCTAAAGGCAGGAGGCCATCAGCTGTATTGATGAGATGCTTCATTACGTGGCACTCTGTAATAAGCCCTCCGGCTGTGTGTTTGTGCCAGAAAGAGAGGGGGAGCACGTTGTGTACGCATGAGAATAAATACACAGACGTTCTTCTTTACACATATCCCGCACAGCTAAATATTATCTGTCCATTTCCAGTTTGATATATTTAGATATGTTGGTGTTCATCTCGATGGCGTCTGTTATTTCCCAGCACTCATTGAAACTTGTCAGATTTCTCACTTCGGTGTCAGTTTGGCTTGAGTAGAGTGCTTTTGTCCTGTCGGTTATATAAAAGTAAATCTGGGAAAGTTTCCAGGCCTCTGGGCTCACCTGAGAATGTGCTTCAGCGACACTTTGTTGTTCAGCACCAAACTCTACTGAGCATTTGTTCTGCTGTCCGTTTACATCTGCCATGCTTGAGGAAAAGCTGGCGTTCTGTTTGTCCCGACAAGTAATAAGTAATGAAGACCCGGCTGCCTGATGCTTACTGGAAAATGTAATGAGATATAATGATTCAGATTCTTGGTATCGCTTCACATAAACACATGAAAGTGGAAAGCTAAAGTTGATGATGACATGTTGGCAAGCTTGTGATTATCATGAGTGAAAATGGCTGACAAGTCTCAACAATATCTTGACCTTATTTACTCTGCAGATGTAAGACATAGGTCCAATCTAAGTAGATAAGTAGAGGAAGGGCCTACTTTTTGTGTTTGTTTGGGATCAGGGGCGTTTCTAGGATTCAAAGAAAGGGGGGGCTCAGCCCCAAGGAGAGGGGCATGTTTCCATTGTTTCAGACAGTTCATAGATTGGTTCAATCAGAGTGTGATTTTGCTCTGTAGTTTTGCTTGCATTCAGTATATGATAACACAAGAGACAGAATTTCAGGGTCATAGTGAAATTTGACAACTCAAATATGAACTTTTCTCAAATAAAGAGAGAAATAATTTTCCTGCTTGTAAAGGAAAGACGGATAAACTAGCTTTCATATCCGCGTCACTCCCACATCCTAACTCTTAAAGGGGCCGCACACAATGGAGAATGGACCTGACAGTGTCAACTTTTGAGTTGTTTACTTGTTTTATTATGAGCAGAAGGGAATAAGATTTTGATCAACATTTACATCTATTTTGTTGTCCGTGTAGTTTTTACATACCAGTGATATTTTATGCTCATTTGGACACTATCACTGAGATAAAGATGAACTAGTTCAGTGTCAAATATACCATTGAATGGAGAGAAAAAAACATGAATAACAAAAATAAAAAAAACACATTTCAAGCACATCTTAATTATCGAATGATAAATATTGTATGATGGGCTGAAATGGAAGGAATCTTCTTAAGGAATCCATAAAATAAGCCCCCCTAAAATAAGCCTAACGACGCCCCTATTTGAGATATGTGGTAGGACAACAAACCAGGGGGAAAGTGCAGTTCTAAATTTAGAGATGGTACGTGGCCATGCAGCAGAGCAAAGGACAGCTATAGCTTATGGTAAGGGTGGGGGATATCAATGCACACGAGAAGGAGAGTTTCACAGGGGTCAATGGATTTTTTGTTGTTGTTGTTGTTGTTTGTATTGATGCACTGAAGTCACTGCTCTGTAATCATGTGTTCTAATGGTTAAAAAGAAAGACAAGTTAGCTGCTAAAGAACAGTGGTTTTTAATGAATTGTTGGGATCTGGAAGAGCGTGTTTGGTTATCAGCAAGTATGAAAACGAAATCACTGAAATTAATGAAGTTATTCAAATTAATAAGATTAGTAATAAATATTAGTAATAACGGGGCACCACCCTGAGATCAGGGACCAATAACCAAACTATAAATAATGTCTCAAAATTGGTGTTGGCTCAAAATGTCAACAGTCAAAGAACTATTCCACATTAAGAGTGAACAGTGAAGATTGAATTTGAGAACAGGCCACGATATACAGCTATCATCACAACACACATGCACAAAGTAATCACAGAAAACTTCAAAAAATACTGATTGAGTCAGTAATATTATAAACTAACAACTGCTATACAATTACAAGCATACTACCTAAAATCAACAAACAATCACGTAGTGAGGGTGCGTGTGTGCGTGAGTAGGTGGGGGGGAGAAGCGAGAGAGAAAGAAAAACGTGAGACTTAACATTGGCGGAAGAGAGAGAAACTACCAAAATGGCGGCCGCGATCTCTTAAGTGATCACACCACGCGAGACTACAAAATGGCAGAGGAAAGAGAAAACTACCAAAATGGCAAAGGAGATAGAAAAATATCAAAATGGCGAATGCAATCTCGTATGTGATTATTTAACGCAAAACTACCAAAATGGCGGCAAGGCCACGATTATTTAACGCAGCAATGAGGCACGCAATATAGAGGCCGCGCTTCTCACCACATGAGATGAGCAAAACAGCACAACCTACATGTGCGTGTGTGTACGTGTGTGTGGGTTAGTTTAAACAATAAGGAGAAGGAAAGACACTCAAAGCAAGTATTCTGTACTTAATTCGGGACCCGGAGCTTCACTGGTTCGGTGAGCTGCGCAGCGATAAATCTTCCGTATGGCAGCGGGAATTCTTCAGAAGTTATGGGAATTTTCTTCCTTACGACCGGCAAATGTCGACTTGAATAGAAAGAGAGCGGGCGTAGAAGTTATCGTTCTCTTCCTCTGAAGATTCTGTGAATCCTCCTTCTGCAGGTTAAAGTTCAATTAAAGTCAGGCTGTTGAACTGCCAGGCAGGCCCAATTCCTTTGTCTCAACCACATGGTGAAGTCCCAACAGAATGCAGCTGTCAAAATGATCCTTGTTCTGATGCTCATGTGTGTTCTCAGGGTTGGATCTGGTGATAGACGGTCAGTGCACAGTTCACCGGCCAGCTGTGATATCTTCTGATCACCTAATCTATGATTGAATGCACCATTAGTCAATAACCTGCACATTTTTATAATGCATTACCACACAAAGAT